GAAATGCGTAAAGTGCGCACTCTTGCTAAGAGAATGTACAAGCTCACCATTGACACCAGGGGCTGTACCTGTAAACATGATGCACACAATGAATAACTCATCAAGGTCAACAGCAAGTTTGGTTAATAATTCTCACTTTCGTCCAAACACTGTTGCGCTTTGCACAGAGTCTGAAAATTATCCACATACACCAAATACACCAAAAACATCGCAACAAACTAATGAACAGACATCATCAATATCACCGAAAGTGGGTAAAAATAATACACAAACACCTCAACATTTTTTTGATTTCATTACCAATCGAAACAAAAAAAGAAAAAAACATACCGAGTCTCTGGAGTTGGAGAGCTCTGTCGATGAGGATTGTTCTTGTATAGAGACTAGTAAATTAAATCGCAGCTGCCCTGAAATAAGCCCCAAAAACAGGGAGGAGTTGGGAGAACTAAGAGCTAAAATCACTTACTTAGAAAAGAAGTTGGAAAGTGCGGAAAAAGAAATAGACAATCTATCAATAGAAAACAGTTCTTTAAGAAAACAAATCATAGCCTATGAAAAGAAAACTGATACACTGGCTTATTTATGTCGCTCAACTCCAAAGATAGATAAAAACAAAAAGAAACAAAAAAAGGGAAACAAAACAAAATTAGATTACACACTTCTAAGTCAGGCCGAATGTGGGCAAAGTTTTCAACCAACACCAAGAACCAAAGAAAAAACTGTATTGAATAATGTAACACATGAAGACCATCAAAGCACAATTTTAGATAAAGAAGAGCAGATGAGCGATTTAAATTCTACACTTATGCATGAAAATAAGGATTTTAGGCTTTGCGTAATAAGCAGTAACAACAGGAATAAAGTGATACAAGCTATAGAGAATCTAGATACTGAGAATTTTGAATACTGTCATTTTATAAAACCACATTCAGGAATAATCGAGCTACTGAGTGGACTACATAGCAAATTAATAGACTACACTATGAATGACTACTGTGTTATTTTGATTGGAGAAGAAGACTTCAAAAAATCCTATAACTATACAAATCTTATAAGTAACATAAAAAACACGCTAGAAAAAATAAAGCATACTAATGTAATCTTAGCATTACCTACGTATATATGTGGTGCACCCTTGTATAACTATAAGGTAGAAATTTTCAATTCTAGTCTTCAAAATAGCATACAGAAATTTGAATATGCATACTGTTTTGACTCAAATTATGACTTAACTTTTGACATGTTTTCTCAGACAACTGGTAAACTCAATAATTTAGGAATAAAAAATATTTTTGAAAATATATCTCAATATTTTTTTCGTTTGTTCTAAAAATAAATTCTGAGGAAATCTTCCGTCTGTAAACATTGACAATAATGTACTCATAAAATTAGCTAATGATGACTTTACAGATAAAGACATATTACATAATATGTATATCTATATATGATATACATATGATATATCAGATATGATATATCATCAAAATGTTTGTGGTTTAAATACCAAAAAGGCTGAATTAGATGTATATTTAGAAACATTAAGTACCTCTACGCCACAATATGTATGCATTACGGAACATTTTTTAAATAGTCATAATATTGAACTTTTTCATTTGTCTAATTATAGCATAATTTCATATAACACTAGGTCAAAAAAAACTAGAGGAGGTAGTCTTATATTAGGACTAAACGATTGTAATTTTATAGATTTAGTTGAGTGTAAAAAACTGTATAAAACACAGTATTTTGAAGTATGTGGCATTAAGGATGTTAAAACCGAATTAAACGTAATTTGTCTGTATAGGAATACACTAGATGAATTTTTCTCAGCTTTTATGGAGCAGCTTGAAACATTGTTTGAATATTTTATTAATAAGAAATGTATAATCTGTGGGGATTTTAATGTTAATCTCTTAAGTGACACTAAACAAAAGTCAGATTTTTTATCTTTATTAAAATGTTATAATTTTAGACCCCTTATTTTATCGTTTACTTTCACACGGGGTCACGCTCAATCCTGTTTGGATAATTTCATAACAAATCTTCCAGATGAATGCATAAAAGATACTATAATAGATCAAAATGGGTTGTCAGATGGTCATGCAGCACTAATATGTAATGTTGATGAAAAATAATAAAAATAAAACTATTACAAGAGAACAAAGAGTATTTAATGAGATGAACAATAAATTATTCAGAGAACACATATTGAAACATGAATGGCAAAATGATGGAATAAATAGTTTCATAAAAAAACTGTATGCAATTTTTGATAAGAGTTTTAAGAAAAAGGTAAAAACTATTAGAATAAGAACTAAACAAAGTTCAAGCTGGATTACAAAAGGGATAAAGGTGGCCAGCAATATGAAGCGTTTCCTTGTGCCAGCACATAGATCCATCAGTGACCAATCTATTGTTGATTATAGAAACAATTATATAAAAGTATACAGAAGGGTAATTAGGTGTGCCAAAAGGCTATCAATACAGTCACAAATAAAGAAATCGAATAACTCTGTTAAGATGATCTGGAGTGTAGTTAACAAACACAGGAAGAAAGTTCCCAATGTAAACGAGAATATATTTGTCTTAAAGCATAATGACAAATATATCGAAAGTACTCAAAAAGTTGTGGATATCTTTGCGGAAAACTTTTATCATTGCCTATCACCCTCGAGAGGTTCCATAGAACTATCAATGAAGTTTCTTGAGCATAATGTACAACCGTGCATAAATGATATGTGTTGGGATCACATTACACCTGCGGAAATATCTAAAGTTGTAAAAAGTATGGAAGACAAGAAGTCATGTGGTTGGGATGACATACCAATTTCAATATTTAAGAAAAACATAGACTTTTTAAAATCACCATTAGCGAGTTTTTACAATAAATGTTATGAAAAGGGCATTTTCCCTGATGAATTTAAGATTGCAAAAGTATTACCTGTACATAAGAAAGGTTCAAAAAATGACTCTAAAAACTACAGACCTATCTCGCTTTTACCAACAATTTCAAAAATTTTTGAAAAACTGATTAAAGTTAGATTAACTAAACATCTACAGAATAATAAAATAATAAATACACGACAATTTGGATATCAGCCAAAAATAGGAAGCAACGATGCGATAGATACATTAATTGATGATGTCATCACAAATTTAAATAATAAAAAGAAAGTGGCGGGATTATTTCTGGATTTAAGCTCTGCTTTTGATATGGTTGATCATAATATGTTAATAAAAAAACTTCAATACTACGGAATAAAGCAAAATGTGCTACAGCTATTCAAGTCTTATTTAGAAAACAGAGAACAATATGTTGAACTGAAGGGTATCGAGGATAAGTATGAAAAGACGTATAAATCTAAATTAGATAAAATTAATAGAGGAGTGCCACAAGGTTCCATTTTGGGACCAATCTTCTTCATCATATTTATAAATGATTTGATCCCCTTTATCTATAACTCTCTACCGGAAGTTCATATTGTAGCTTTTGCGGATGATACAAATGCGGTAATATCGGCACAGAATACAAATGATCTCAACCATAGACTAAATAGAGCTCTTTTAACGTTTTCTCTGTGGTTTAATGCAAATAATCTTATGCTGAATGCAGAAAAAACTAAAGCTATACTATTCAAAACCACAGCGAAAACGCGAGATACCTTGAACATCAAACTACATGAAAACTGCATACCACTTGTACAATCGGTGAAATTCTTAGGTGTTTATATAGACTCGTATTTGGCATGGAAAGATGAATTAAATAATATAGAGAGCAAAATCAGCTCTGCATGCTATGCTTTGAGAAGCTTGAGGGAAGAACTAACCACGAAACAATTAAAAATTGTATATTATGCTCTAATAGAATCTCGCTTAAGATACAGTATTAAGTTTTGGGGAAATAGTTATGCCTATAATGTAAAAAAAGCGTTTGTTCTACAAAAAAGAGCAATTAGAATAATATCTCGCATACACCAGAGGCAATCATGCAGAGAACATTTTATAAATTTGAAAATCCTTACTGTGCCCTGTTTGTATATTCTTACTTTACTTACTGATCTTGTCAAACATCCGAATAGATATGAAACTGATGATGAAATGGCAAGAAGATACGACACGAGACGAAAGAATATACCCAATGTCTTCAAAACAAAACTACAGGTTGTTGAGCATAGCGTTAGAAATCAAGCTGTAAAACTTTTTAATAGACTACCTAATGGCCTAAAAACCATAAATAATGTTAAAATTTTTAAGCAAAGATTAAAGTCCTTTTTATTGGAAAAATGTTTCTATTCGGTGAATGATTACATTGAGTTTGGTAAAAATTAATATTGCATGCATTATTTAATTAATAATTAAGTTGTAGACATTTTTAGGAAACACGTATAATGCTAATTAATTTAATTTAATTTAATTTAATATTTTATATCACAATTAAGTTTTCCCACACAATGTATATTGTTTTTTGGAATAAATGACTAATGACTAATGACTAATAGAGGTTAGAATAGAGGTTATTCAGTTATAGAGGTGCGATTGTTAAATAAAATAACGTATTTTGTAAACATTATACATGAGTTGTAATTTTTATTAACAATCAATTTAAATAAACATCCGGACGATAGCAAAACCAAACTAAAACTGGAGGTCACTTTTACACAACTAGCCAAGTGCGAAGTTTGCGGGTAGAATAAGAATTAGTAAACAAAACGGTACACAAAATATAGTTCTTCCCGCAAACTTCGCACTTGGTAGTAAAAGAGGTAAAATACACTCGCTGTCTCAATTGTAGAGATAATTATGACGATAAAATCGAAAGAACTAATCCCAGATATAGAGGTTTGTTTTGTCCCACTAACAGAGGTAACAGAGGTAATAAGCATGCGTTCTAGCTATGGAAGTTTCTCACTTATTCAGGTCCCACTCAACCAAGTTTTACTGTATATGGGGTATCCTTATATAATACATGATTATTAGATTTGATTGTTATTATTGTTTAGGTAATACTCGTAAAATGGAACGAGCCTTATCAGAAGCTGGCATCATGCGACAGTTCGGGAGTCATCTTCGTGTGGATCAAGTACGAGGGTCGCTGGAGCATCGAGCTTATCAACGACAGAAGCACACCAGTCACACACTTCTCTTGGTCACACGATGGGCGAATGGCGCTTATATGTTACCAGGTATATCTTAGTTCTTATTTTTCATGTCTAATGGCTAATCAAATGAAGTAATCTACTTGATAGTAAGAGACTACTGTAGCAGTAGACTGTTGACACCACAATGATTTTCATACAAAAGCTATATTAAGCTCCTCTTGTAGTACGTTGTTTAGATATGATAACATTACTTTGCTCTTCGGCACGCAATAGTCGAGCGAAATCAGATAAAGCTGTTGTCAGATGAAGCTTTTATCAGATGAAGCTGTGAAAGCCAATAGGCTAACAGCACTAACATCGCAGAACAAAGAAGTCAAGCGAATTAGTACTAAAGCAGGGAGAATGTTAGAAAAGTAACGTACGGCCAACCTCAAAGAGCAGTTTTCTTTTTTCTACCGACTTCAAAAATTAGGAGGTGATCAATTCAACTGTATTTTTTTTTATGTGTGAACCGATTTCGATGATCAATTTTTTATTTGAAAGCTACTGCTTCTCATGTGGTCTCGTATAATTTTAATCAAGGTCTGACCGATAGTTTTTGAGTTATGCTTAATAATTTATATTGGAGTCGGTTGTACAAATTTTTTAATTTTAAATTATTATTCCTTTCTATTTTAAATGTTGCTTGTTTTGTTTTGAAATGCTTGGAACTAACAAAGGCCTTTATACACTAGACGATTCGAAGATACGGCGAACAAATTAGTTTTAAAAAAACAATATTTTATACAAGAAAATCTAGAAACGAGACCTCATGTTAAAAAGTTATCTATCGGTAATGTTGCTTCGTTTTGTATAACGATCTCTAAAATCAATTATACATCATAAAATAATACCTGTAATAAACCGAAATACGCGATCACAGAAGTCAAAACGAGATCAACAATAAAATATTTAAGTATGTAATTGCGTACATATCTGATATAATTAGGTACATAAGTAATTACAGTACCTATGTATTCTTTTTGTTATGTTTTTCTCTTTTTATATTTCGCATCCAGGGGCGGATCTATTATATGGGCTTTTTTGACTGCAGCCCAGGGCCCCGTGGATATATAAGGCCCCCAGCCCCCATTGAAGACAATAGTTGTCAAAGCTTCAAAAATAATTACAATGATATTATGAAAATTTCATGAGTTTTAATGGAAATGAGGGTGACAAAGTTAATTTTCGAAAAGAGGCACGAAACTTATTCAATAAAATGGCGAAACTAGAAAACTTAGAAGGGATATTTGTGAAGGAAAAAGTTAGTTATGTAATTTGTCAAGAGTTCGCGAGCAACATACGACATCAATCGTATCAGAAATTAAAGACATATGAGAAGAAAGCTAAAAAATTATATACTAATGTGGGAGCAGAATACAGTGACATAAAAACAAGAGACGGATTACTTAATTTTCGGATAAAGTCTGAGTTAAATTTAAAATAGACACGCTAAACGTTGCATTAGTTAAGTTGTTTTGGATTTTGAATTTAAATAGGATCATATTTTGCAATAATGTCTAACAGTTACTGTTTTTGTATCTAAGTCATATTAAATAAAATATTTTACTGTTCTAATTTTTTTTTTCGAGAATGTTACGTATTATAGAAACAAAACTGTTTTCTATAATGATACACATGATGTATATCATTATAAAAAACAGTTTTTTGACGAAGTGGTCATTAGATTCAGTAAATTTGGTCGGCCCCCAAGAAGTGTTAACCCAGGGCGCCACAAATTCACGGTCTGCCCCTGTTCGCATCAAAACATTTTCATGCTAATTCCATAATAAAATACATGTTGTTTCATTTTAAGAAATTGGTATATCTAAAATTAAAAAAAAACCACATTACAATGCTTTATCATCCTCCGGGCGTAATTAATTCTTTCATATTTATCAGTCTTTACAATTTACTAGTACAGAGCTGTCCACTATACTTTGGAATTTCATTGTGAGAGATGAGATTCTCATCTTTATTATTATAAATTTCTTATTGTAACAGGGATTAAAGCTTTTGTATTTCTAACATAACACAGTTTTTGTCTCTTTCGATTTAAAAAACTTAGCTATTACACGCGATTTTGTCCACATAGAACTTACAAAAATCTGCACTCGTACAATAATGGTCTTTGGGCTGGTAGTTCAATTATCGAAAAACATAATATTTTAATCTCAGTTTTTCTGTTTAATGTGTAATATACGTGAAAGTGTTCAAATAAAAATTGAAGATTTATTAATTCCAATTTTTTAGTCTTATCCCTATATTCTTTAACACTCATAGTTTTATTGTAAAAATTTTAAAAGTAAATTAAAAATATTATAAAAAATATTTTACATTAAAACTAAGAGATAGAAGATAAAATGTAAGGACCTGTGTATTAAATTGCAAAACAAAAAATTTTCTTTGAGCCCTTTTGTCCTTTTATTATTTGATTGACTGATGAAGAGCAATCGTATCATAGAGCCATCTATGCAAACAAGGCTGTAGTTTTTTATAAGAAAGTGATCATATTAACCGGATGACCATATTACCCTCACGTACTATACTACTATAATTTAAGTATTGATGGCAAGTTTGAAGAACAATCACCTCTTTATTTTGCAATGTTAAAATGAAAGCATCTGAACGGAAAATTTACACAAATATTTTTAAGCAATATAGAATGTAGACAACAATCTGTTTCGAATGCGCTTGGTTTACGTTGGTTAAGAAGTTGCCGTATTCAGAAAGTCCTTACGTTTAAGTCAAGTTAACATTTAATTCTGAGGATAACAAATTTTCCAGGATATTAATGATTTATCTACACAACCACGTTAATAAAACGTCTGATAGGGCGAAAACATGTCACTGTAATTTTGCTAAAGAGCTTCGCTGTGAACTCAACCGTCGACGTTATTTTGACATCTTTAAAATATGCATGCACAACATACATGCTTAGACGAATGTGACCTTGTAGGGTTCCGATTTACTTATATCTTTGTTTATTATTTGTTCAGTTGTACTAATAAATGATATAAAACCTTTTTATTACTTAAAATTCAAACGAGTTCCCTTTGAATTTTAAATACAATAAAAGCTTAAAAAGGCAATATAGTTTTCTAAGGTGAAAAGGTCTTCAATCAAAAAGTTTTGCGGACAAAAAAATTGAAGCACTTTTTCCAATCCACCTCTTCTACGGCCTATTCGAACATCTTCTGGCGATGAAAACTGTATCTCTTTCCAGGTGATCCTTTATTTTAGGGAATAAAAAGAATCCACACGGTGTTATCTCAGCTCTCAACTCAGCGCTGTAAGAAGGATAGCCCAAAAGTTTAACCGGTGTGCTGTCCAGGAAGTCCCTCCTTTTAAGCGCTGGGTGTGAGGGCACGTTGTTATGGTCAAGTAGTAATATTCGGAGCCCCGTGTTCGATCGATTGTTACTCATAGCATAGCAATAACACTTCTGACAAGCATTGTGTACGATTGGGCATTAATGCTTCTTCAATTTCATAAAGGAATTGGTACCATCCTTGCGGCTTCACTTTGGTAGGCGTTGGTTCATTTTAAAACAGCCTCAACATCGACTAGTGCTTCGATTCTTTAAAATATCCAAAATTTTAACTTGTTCACATTTACTAATCTTGGCAAGTATACTTAGCGCGGGCCTGCTTCAGGATATTGATGAGCTTGAGTGGCCCCCAATGCGAAACTATCGTCCTCACGGGAAGTTGTTCGTCTCTCTCTCTCTATCTCTTTAACGTAATTCGCCTATTTCTTACAATTAGATATTCCACTTTTAACAAATTTTCTCCCGTAACAGCCGTCAAATGGAGAATACCTCCTTTTTCATCTCTTAAAGTCGGTCAACTGTGCTGAATACCAGCGGTCTACGATCGCCTTATTTATCCATAAATGTCATTTGAAGTTTATCAAATGATATGTTTAGTTTTAGGCGACATTTTAAATCGTAAAAATTTAAGCTCAACTGGTTTAGCACAACTGCTTTTTTATAGGACAGGGGCAAACGAGCACACGGCTCACCTAATGGTAAGTGACTAAGCCGCCCATGAACAACTGAAACACTAGGCGAATTTCAGATGCGTTGCGAGCCTTTTAAAAAAGAGTAGGCTCTTTTCTTGAAGGTTCCTAAGTCGTAGCGGTCCGGAAAATTCTCCGCCGGTAGCCGATTTCACAAGGTAATTTTTTTTTTATAGGATAGGGTGACAAACGAGCACACAGACCACCTGATGGTAAGTTGTGCAAGGAAGAAACCTTCTTCTAAACCGTGCGATGGCGAAATTGAGCGGCTGGAATTAGTCCGAACAATTCCTCAGAGCACTCCCCGTGATAGATGCGATAAAATACGCAGAGATGCAAGATCTCTTCACAGTGCCAGTGAGTTAAGTCGATCCGAAAGAACTCGGTCATCGATGATTCGAGCTGATCTACGCTGGATACGGTCAAGTGGAAGGAGCTGGCACTGGGTAGCCCATTAGATAGATAGGAATAGTATTCCATGTGGGGCCGAACCTGCTCCTTGGTTGCAAGCGGTGTGCCGGCATGAAGTACTGTCCCGCCTTACAGAGCACGCCAAGCTTTTTAGAGGCTAATTTGACCTTCGTCTATGTTGACGTCGAAGATCCCGATACTGGCTGAGGCAACAAGGGGAGTGCCTTGAAACTTAGATAGATACGACAAAGGGGTTCTTTTTAACGGTAAACGCGTAAACTTGTGTCTTCTGGGGTTTGAACTGGACTAGATTTAGTCGCCCCCAATCCGAGACCTTCAACAAAGACTCGGCTTCAGACACAAGTTTATCCCGGTACTCAGCGACGTTTTCCCGAGAAATATTGACACGTCCGGTGTATAAAGCATCACCAGTGATGTTGTCTGCATAGCAATGAATGTTACCGGTTTGCAACATATTCAGTTGCACGATTGGACCCTAACAAACATATAATGCAATTTAAATAAAAGCTTTTAAAAAAATTATCGCACGAGATTGTATCTAACGTGATCTGCGTTTTGTTTTTCAATGAAACAAAATGTTTCAATTTAGATCC